AGTGCAGGCTGCTTGGCCCTGTGGGGCTAGTTCCTTGGCTCTCCCAAAGCTGGGTGCATCCTAGGACAGACCCTGGCTTGGCCTCTGGCAGGCTGAGTGGCCTTAGCCAAATTTCTGTTCCTGCCTGGGCCTCAATTTCCTGTACAGCAAGCAGGGTGACTCCAGGAGGTTTCTGCCAGATCTCAGGTCTGGAGCCAGCTCTTAGCCTGCTCTCCACCCCGTTCCTGTTCTCCCTGCCCTCAAGCTGTCCCGCCCCTCCCTGCCTCTCTCTACAGGGCGCCTGGCAGCCCCCACTTGCCCACTGCAGGCTCAGCTGCCTGGGGGTTCTCCTAGGCCCTCCACACTCGGCCCACATTCTGCTCTGGGCCTGGCTGGCTGAGACGGGTTAAGGAGCAGCCCTAACCCTCTTGCTGCTCAGGCACCAGCCGCTGTGAGTGGGCCCCTGGTGGGCATGGAATGGGACCAGAACATCATCCCATTTGCCCAGTGTAAAATGGGATAACAACACTGGACTCCTAGAGCTGTTGGGAGGATTAAACAAACAAATGACACCTTTGCGAAGGAGCTTTGTGGGTGGTGGATCTGTCAGAGGAGGGGCAAAGAGTGACTCTGGCAGGCTGCCCTGATGGTCCCTGAGGCAACAGTGGGAGGCTGGGCTCCAGGACCCTGGGACCACTCTTCCCAGACTCCTGCCTACAGGACCATGCCAGCGCAAGTGGCTTTTGCTGGCCCCAGGTGCACCCCCTGGGGCTGGAAGTCAGGTTGGACCCTGAGAGTCCATCCCCTCCCCCGGCCTCAAGCTCATTTTCTTGGGGGGCTTCCTCTGCCTCCCTTCACCCCACACGGCTCCAGCGCAGGCCTCTGAGCCCAGGTTTCCTTCCTGGTCTGGGACGAGGGAGGGTCTGGCAGCACATCTGCCAGCGCCCCCCACTCTGGCTGACCCTGGGGAAGGGGCCCTGAGATGGATGTTTCCTTAGACACGTAATTGGAATTGCACAGCTTAGTAATTAGAAGAGGCAGCAAAGTGTTCTATAAATGACTGTAATTATAGTTTCTGCAGCCAAACCAGGAGTCCCAGGGGTCACCTGGGGAAATCGGACACAGTGGGGGATGGGGGAAGATGGTTGCAAGGGCCTGCTGTGGGCCAGCCCCCCCTGCCCCCGCAAGAGCTATGCCCACAATCACAAGGCCCCTCTGCAGACTCCTGGGGGCTCAAGACCACCAGCAGGCCCGGAGACCATCTGGATCCAGGCCCCTATTTGACAGAAGGGAGAAGCCTGCAGAAGGGAGGGGACTTGGCCCATGTGACAGAGGCATCAGCAGCAGAAACTGGACTGGAACCCAGCCATCCCCTCAGCCAGACAGAGCCGCTCCTTTTTGGGTTTTGGTTTTTGGTCTGTGCTAAGTGCTGGCTCCTCTCCCGCTTCCCCAGGACTCCTTTGGCCCAGCGCGCTCCCCTCTCCCCAGTCTCTCAGGTCTCTGTGATGCTGCCTCCTTCAGGAAGCCTTCCCTGAACGCTTGAGCAGGGTCAGCACCTCCTTGGGTTCTCCGTGGCTCCAGTGTGTCCCCCTGTCCCCCACAGACCACCCCACCCTGGGCCTGTCTCCCTCAGAGAGCAAGGACAACACGCAGTTCCCAGCAGGGGCCGCAGCCAGCCTCCGGCAGTGTTTGCACCGCAGAAGTGGTCCAAGGCTACAAATCAGGGTCCCTAGCCCAGCCCAGAGAGCTGGCTGTGCAGCATTTTCGGCTCTGCTGAATTCATCTGGCCCGGTCCCCCGAGCAGGCCTGGACCTGGCCAGTGCTCGGTGAGGGGCGCCGACCAGGAGGAGAGAGAGAGAATACAGGCTTGGCCTTGGGACGTTGGATACCTGCTTCCAACATCTGCCACTAGTGCCAACACTGGCCCTTGCCCCCTTTTCCTACCCCTACCTGGGGCGCTCATGGGGCAGGTAAGGCCCATGGCAGGCCTGTGTCTGTGGGCCCTGGGTGGCGGGGAGCCTCTTTCCCAGGCCAGGGCTGAGGGGCCCCAGAGAGTCAGGCAGGTGTGGGCGGCCTTGACAGGGCTCACAGAGAGCTGAGCCTGGAGGAGGTCCTGCCTCTTCCTCTTCCAAAAGGTACCTGGCAATGTGCCACCTTCCTGTACCCCTCCCAGCCTGGCCACAGCAGGAGGGGTGGGTGAAAAGCCCATGGGGCTTGAATGTGAAGGTCTAGGACACTACTGTAAAAAAAAAGAAAAAACAATAAAAAAATAATAAAAAAGTATCAAAAAAAGAAACAAACAAACAAAAAAGGCCATGGGGCTGGGCCAGCTTCAGAGAGGCGTTTAGTCGGTAAAGGCATCTTACAATGCACAAGGCAGACCCCCACAGGAATGAATTGTCTGGCCCCAAATATCAATGGAGCTGAGGTTGAGAAACCTTGCCCAGGAAACATGTACTTGGACACACCCACAGTGCAATTTTGGGGAATCCCTCAGCCCCAAGAAGAACCCTTGTTCTCTCTAACCTCTTAGTTTACAGAAAAGGAACTAACCAGGGACAGGAGAGGGGGTTAAGTAGCTGGTTCAAGGTCACCCAGCAAGTTCGCCTCGCAGCCTGTGCAGTCAGCATGGTGCCTGCACACTCTGCAGCTCAGTAAATGTTTGTTAAATTGGGAAGAAAACCAGGAAAGGATTGCACTCAGGCCTGGCAGTCCTCTCAAGGCTGTCCTGGACAGGATCCCACAAACACCCCTCCATCATGGTTGGACCCCGCCTTCTGGCAGCATGGCTGCCGCTGGCCAGCCCCGTCGTGACTGGCCCAGGGAGGCCTGAGCCAGCCTGACGGGGCTCCAGGCTCCAGCCCGATGGGGAGGCGGGCGAGGCTGTCTGCAGTAAGGTGGAGGGTGAGTCCAGGCCGACTTCACACATCTAAGCAGACAGGCCGCCGCGGCCGAGGGGCACACCATGGCGCCAGGCACCCAGCGCGTCCGAGAGCTGGGTCCAATCGCAGGTGGTGACAGGTGGGCTGGGCCAGGTCCCTGCAAGGTGTGTAGGGTATGTGTGCGGGAGCTCAGATTTTCCAGCCTTGCCTGCCTGATGACCCCAGGTCCTGACGACCTTGTCTGGTGCCTGCTTCTGGAACTGGCCTTAAAGCGCCCACCAGAGTTATGTCTGTGGGACCTCAGCTGCCTCCTCTGCTCTCCATTCTCCCCTTCTTCTTCACAGGAAGCAGAATTGTACAGGTTTAGGGATGCAGGATTTACAGCTCTACTCCTGGGGTCATGTCCTGGATTTACTTCTCACTGGCTGTGTGACCTTAGGCAAGTTACTCAATGTCTCTGTGCTTCTGTGTCCTCACCTTTAGAATGGGGTTGACAAAATTGTATCCACCTCATAGGGTTGATGGGAGGATCAGATGAGTTAATTTTCTACGAACCACTCAGAAGGATGGCTGGCCTGGAGCAGCAACTCAGAACCGGAACTATCATCCGTCCCGTTTTTATTCAGCTCCCACGGCTCCGCACTGGCGAGAGCGAGCTCAGCGAGCGGCTCCGTCCTCCGCTGCCCTCTGGCGGACCGCGCGGACTGTCCCGAGAGGGCAGGGACCTGGGGCATCCAGAGAGGTAATTTCCTCCTTCAGGTTGCAAAGGACGTTTGCCGTTGACGGAAACCCTGTGGCTGATCCTTGCAGGGAGGCAGACGGCTGGTGTCTGCCCGCCTCCCGACCAGATGCGCGCGGGGGGCACTGGCAGGCGGCTTGTTTCAAGCAGCGCCCTGCTGCAGTTCCCCACAAGAAGGGCAACAGGGGCAGTTTTTCTTCTTGACACTGACGATAACTGGCCATTTTCCGTTTTGCAGGTTGCGGTGACCTTTAAGCCAACACGTTTTGCAAACATCCTTACCCAAGTCGTGTAGCAGCCCGATGCCTGGCCCCTGCCGCACAGCCGCGGAGAGGCGGACAGGCGCAGAGGGCGGCGCTCCGTGCCGGTACGGGTGCGCGAAGCTGCGTGTGACGGCACCCTGGACCCTGGAGGAGACTTCTGCAGGGGAGATGGGAGTTGGGGCGGGCTGGGCATGGCTGGTGGCTGCAGGAGCAGGAGCGGGATAGGGAAGGGTCTGGACTCCCACCTGGTTCGGCCGGTGAGGCCAGTGAAAGCGCAGGGTGGGGCAGGCCAGGGTCCGGGCGCTCCCGACTGGCAGACTGCGCTCCGGGGGGACGGGCCATGCGGCAGGGTGCACACCTGCCTATCTGAGGGAGCCTGGAGGTGGGTCCCCGCAGCACACCTGTGCCTGGGGACAACGCGGCCACCGACGCCCACCCCAGATGCTCGAGCAGCTCCGCCCCCAGCCGCAGAAGGATCCGCGACACCTGCGCGGGATCCCGGTACCTGCCCCACGCGCGGCCCGGACCTTTGCGCCCTGGGCCCCGCCCCCCAGGGCCAGCCAATCCGAGAACCCCAGCAACGCCCGCATCCAATGCGGGAGCGCCCAGGCCGCGCCAGCCTCGCCCCCGCCGCCGCGTGCGCCCGGCCCCGCCGCGGGACGGCAGCCGGCTCTGGGCGGGCGGGGGCTCCGCGGCCCTCGTGGCCGGGTCCCGCTCCCGGGCCGCCACTCTGGGGGAGGCTGCTGCTGCGCGCTCCGCGGCGGCGCTTGGGTCCCGCGGCGCCCGGGAAGGAGCCGCGGAGAGGGCGCGGCCTCGGGCTTCGCCCCGTGCGGCTCCCCGGACCCTCTCAGGGCCTCAGGCTCGTCCGATAAATGGGCGTTGCGGCCGCCAGGCTCTGCCCGGGGCGGCTTCGCCTGTAGAGCGAGTCCAGACCGAGCAGACCGCGGGGCGAGCGGGTCGCCCTGGCCCTGCGGCCCCGGCGGCCCGACCCAGCCCGGCGCCCGCGTCCCCCGCCTCCCGGCCCGGCGCCCGCGTCCCCCGCCTCCCGGCCCGGCGCCCGCGTCCCCCGCCTCCCGGCCCGGCGCCGCCGCGCTGTTGCCCGGGCTCTGGCGCCACCCAGTGGCGGCACGTTTAAGTTCGGCGGCGCCGGCTGAGCCCCGGGGCGACGCGGACGGCTGTCTGGAGACCTGGGAGAGACAGGAGCAAGGACAAAGTGCCGTTTTCCTGCCTCAGCCCCCCGCTCGCTCTGGTTCCGAAGAGAGGCTGGGACACTGCGCTCCTGCCTGTGTTGCTGTGTCAGCCCTTTCCTGGCCTCCTGTGGGGCGGTGCCTTGTGCCAGGTAGAAGCCACGCGCTGCCCCGATGCCCACCTGCCCGGAACACAGACGCTTTTGTCCCCAAATAAGTGTGGGCGCTGCTCTGTGGCTGGCTATGGAAACCAGAGCCGGCGGCCCTTTCTCTCCTGTCCTCAGGACCCGCTGTCCCCGGAGGGAAGAGGTGCCATGCCAAGCTCCGTGGCTGACCGATCTCGGGTCGCAGCCCGGCCACTGGTTGTAGTGAGGAAGTCCTTTCTCGCGTGGCGTGGCGTGGTTCCCCACTCTGCTCTGGCTCCATCCTCTTCCTCATCTAGAGCTGGACAGCGCCTCCGCCGCCCTGCCAAGACAGATGCTGATCCCAGTTATGTGCGTGTGTAAAGGGGCGTGGGTGTGTCGGGGAGGACAGGGAAGGCCTGTTGGCCCAGGTCACCTGTGTGCCACCTGCCACAGGAGCCCACAGCAGGGGGCCTTTCAGGGACCCATGTGACTATCTGACAGCTGAGGAAAAACATGATTGGCTCTAAAATAAGAACACTGCAAAATTGAAATCAATAAATTCTTAATCAAATGTCCAACTGTAACATTATATCAACCTCATTAATTGTTAAATTTAGTATTCATAAAAATTTCATTACATTTGAAAGAGTGTGTGGGCTAGGTTTTTCTCATTTTGTGAGAATTCCCAATTGTAATTTAAATCAGTTACTCCTAGCTGAATGGTTTCAAGAGCAAAATTAGAAATATCCTTTCAAAAACTTTACAGCAAATTTTTAATATTTTAATATGTTTGCACTGAGGAAGTGGAGTGAAGCTGTCAAGAATAAAACTGAAGCTGGGTACGGTGGTGCGTGCCTGCAGCCCCAGCTACTGGGGAAGCTGAGGTGGGATGATCACTGGGGACCAGCCTGGGCAACATGGAGGGGCACAGGGGGCATAGTGTGTCCCGCACCCAGGCAGGGAGTGCTCTGGCCGAGTCATTCACCTCAGGTTGGGGTGTGGGGCTCCTCTGGACTTACAGGTGCTATGGCGTCTTTGGGGAGCGGGGGAGGCTGCATGGGACAGCCGAGCGAAGATTAGGACTCAGGCCCGGGATCGATCGTCTCTGGGAAGTCCATGTGGGACAAGTTCTCGTGGGAGGACTGTGATGGGCCGGGCCCTAGGACCAGCCTCCGAGATGCCCTGTGCAGGGCCCCACACTGGCAGCACTCCCCCACTGGGGGCTCTGGGCCCTTGGCTCCCAGGGGTCTAGTCTTCTCCCCTCCTTGCCTGACTGACCCGTGCCTGCAAAGTTCTGTCAACTCTGTCCCATAATTACTTTCATTTCATTCTTTCTGGCCAGAAGGAATAGCCTGGGGTCTATGACAAGAAACAGCCCCCAGAGTGGAGTCCTCTTTCCTTCAGGACATGAGGCATTGAGTCTTCATAGACCCTGGCTATGTAATTGCTCGTCTGGGCAGGGACAACATGCTTCATTCCTTCCTTGGGAAGGTCTCCCTACCAAATGACCACATGACCCCTCCCAAGGCCAAACAAAACAAAATGAAACAGCAAAAGGAATTTTATGTACTAATAAAATAGTTTTAACAGCCTCATCTATTACTTAAGGTTAGAATGCAATGGCCTTGGGACGAGAAACACGGCCAGAGTGTCTCTGCAGAAAAGAACAGATTCTAGAAGAAATTAGAAGAAAGAAGCAAGCAGACAAGCATACATTGGACAAGGGTCGGAAGGAGGGGTACCTGAGACCACGGAGACTCCACGGGAGGAGGTTGCGGAGGAGAACTGGAAGCAGAGGCCTCTGGAGCAGCCTGGAGACCAGCGGCAAGGGTAGGTGGCGCGGTTAACTCTCCCCTCCCCTGCATCTGGGACTGCTGGTGGGCGCCCCAGCGGGTGGAGAGACCTGCGGACACCAGTCCAGAGACGGCCACCGCCAGCGAGCAGTAAGCCTGTAGCAGACGCGGCACCAGGCTCCCAACTCCCGAGGGCACCTCCCTGTGCACAGACCCGAGCCACGCGGCAGGCGCCACATTGCCTCATTCTCCCCTCCCCCGACCCTACCCGCAGCTGCCGAGAGAGACAATAGAGCCACCAGCCGGAGGCACCTCCAGGGAACGGGACCTTCCCTTTTAGGGCCCTACAGCTGACTGAGGGGAACTCAGACGGTGAGCTCCCTACCCGCCAGCCCTCCCAGGAGCTGCTGGCCGGGTGATCCCAGGAGAACAGGGCAGATCCTGAGGCTGAGAGACATAGACCCAGCTTGGGCTCCCGAGGGTGAATTGGGACTGGCACTCCTCTCCCTGGTGGGGATATAGTTTGAACTCTGGGGCCCAGAGGTCAGACCTGCAGACCAGATCCTGTGCACCCAGGTCTCGCATTGCCTGGGACACAGAAGGGATATACGAAAAGCCTACTGAGGAGTGTGTGCCTTCAGGGGCAGATCAGCGTCCTAGAGGGCAACCCTCCTCCCAAAGGGAGGCCATGCGTCCAGCCCAGGTGGCGTTCCTGCGCAGGGAACCTCCCTGCCGGCATCACAGCCAGGGGAGGTCCGGTGGGGTGTGGTGGCCTGCTGGCAGAGGCCCAGGAGTAGCTGCGGAGTTGGGGAGGGTGGAAAGAAGTGAGGCCCGCTCCAGACTGCGGGTCTCAGACAGCCCCGCCCCCACACGTAGATTTTCTGACTGAGCGGGGCCATTCCAGCCCCTCCCTGACAGCTTTTCCTGGAAGCAGAGAACAGAACTTTGACCCCTGCTAACGTCATTGGTGGTGCCTGAGGGCAGGCTGACCCAACCCAGCTCCGCCCAGACTCTCTCCCAGACCAGCCCTCACTGGGGGGGAGAAAAGGACACACCTGGAAGCCTCAGAGTCCCGCCCACCACCTGGGGCACTAGGGTGCCTCTCCAGGGGAACAAGAACTGGATACAAAACCCAAAAACAACAGTGTAGCCTGTTCCTCTGAGCCAGCGCCACCTACTGACAGGGAGGACATCCTGCACACCCTTTTCACGGCACCTACTGACTCATCATACAGGGAGTGGTCGAATCTCGCCAACAAACACCACCTACTGGCTCAGAGACTACACAGGGCGTGTCATTATCCAAATAAAAACCTAAAGGCAAGAAGCAACAACTGATCCAGATGGGAAGAAATCAGTGAAGGAACTCTGGAAATATGAAAACTCAAATGAAAACCACACCCCCCAAAGAGGAACACCAGCCACTCAGAAATGGACATCAACCAAAATCAGACCACTAAAATGACAGAAGAAGAATTTCGAGCATGGATCGTAAGAAAATTCAATGACTTGCCAGAAAACCTGGATAACCAACACAAAGAAAACACAAAAAGATTCCAGGAACTGGAACAAAAATTCACCAAAGAAATTGAAGTAATGAAGAAAAAATCAAACCGAACTCCTGGAAATGAAGACTCAATTCAGGGAACTACAAAACACAGTGGAAAGACTCAAGAACAGGGTAGATCAAACAAGAAAGAATCTCAGAGATTGAAGATAACACCTTCCAATTAAATAAATTAGTCACAGAGATACATCAGAGAAACGAGAAAAGAGCAAAGCCTACAAGAGATGTGGGATTATGTGAAGAAACCTAATGTGAGGGTCATAGGGTTACCCCAAGAGGAAGAAGAAAACACTCAAGGGTTGGATAAGCTATTTGAAGATATAATAGAGGAAAATTTCCCAGGCCTTGGTAAAAATCTTGATATACAAGTTCAAGAAGCTCAGAGGACCCCGGGGAGATTTAATGCAAACAGGAAGAAATTGCGGCATGCAGTCATCAGACCAAAATATCAAACAAAGAGGCCCTTCTACGAGCTGTAAGATGAAAGAAGCAAGTAACATACAAAGGAAAGCCAATCTGAATAATGCCAAACTTCTCTACTGAAACTTTACAAGCAAGGAGAGACTGGTGCCCCATTCTCACCCTTCTGAAACAAAAGAATGCCCAGCCTAAAATCTTATTCCCTGCAAAACTAAGTTTTATATACGAAGGAGAAACCAAGACATTCTCAGATAAGCAATGACTGAGAGAATTAACCAAGCCAAGACCAGCCCTTCAAGAAGTACTCAAAACAGTGTTACTCATGGATCAGCACAATAAATACTCATGAATGTAAATCTACTCAAAAGCTAAAGATCAAAGCCCACATTCCACAGTGGCTCAAGAGAGAAAACAAAGCAACAAAGTTCAACCCAAATAATGAACAGAAATCTCCACCACCTATCAGTTATCTCAATAAATATCTCACTTTGTTGACCAGACTAGAGTGAGTGCCGTGGCATTAGCCTAGCTCACACAACCTCAAACTCCTGGGCTCCAGCCATCCTGCTGCCTCAGCCTCCCAAGTAGCTGGGACTACAGGCATGTGCCACCATGCTCAGCTAATTTTTTCTCTATATATATTAGTTGGCCAATTAATTTCTTTCTATTTATAGTAGAGATGGAGTCTCGCTCTTGCTCAGGCTGGTTTCGAACTACTGACCACGAACAACCACCTGTCTCGGCCTCTCAGGGTGCTAGGATTACAGATGTGAGCCACTGCGCCTGGCCAGGAACTCTCATCTCACTTCTACACAAAGTTATGGAAACTAAACAACCTTTTGCTGAATGATCACTTCATAAATGAGGAAATCAAAAGATTCTTTGAACTAAATGACAAAGGAGACACAAGTTATCAAAACCTGTGGGACACAGCTAAAGCAGTCCTGAGAGGAAAGTTAATTTCCATAAATGCTTATATCCAAAAGTTGAAAAGATCACAAATAGACAACCTAATGAATCGTCTCAAAAGAGCTGGAAAAGAAGAACGACCAACCCCAAAACCTAGCAGAAGAAGTGAAATCATTAAGATCAAATCAGAACTAAACGAAATTGACAACAGGGAAACTATATGGAAGATTAACAAAACAAAAAGTTGGTTCTTTGAAAAAAACAAAATTGACACACCCTTTGGCTCAACTAACGCAGAAAAGAAAAATCTCTAATAACTCCATCAGGAACAATAAAGGAGAAATTACAATGGATGCCACGGAGATACAAGCTATAATTTATGAATACTACAAAAACCTCTATGTACACAAATTAGAAAATGTGGAGGAAATGGACAATTTCTTAGAAATACATAGCCTCCCTAGGCTCAATCAGGAAGAAATAGAATTCCTGAACAGATCAATATCAAAGTACTGAAATTGAACAGCAATAAATAATCCTTCCAAAAGAAAAGTCCTGGATCAGATGATTTCACACCCCGAATTTTATCACACCTACAAAGAAAAAACTGGTGCCATCCTGCAGAATTATTCCAAACAACATCGAGAAGGATGGAATCCTCCCCAACATATTTATGAAGCGCAACATAACCCTGATACCAAAACCAGGAAAGGATGCACAAAGAAATAAAACTACGACCAATATCCCTATGACTATAGACTGCAAAAATTCCAACAAAATCCAGCCAATCAAATCCAGGTTGCTCGTCAAGAAAAAATGATCACAACCAGGTGGGCTTCCACCCAGGGATGCAGGGATTGTTCACAAACTACGCAAATCTATAAATGTTAACTCACATATAGACAGAAGCAAAAACAAAACCATAATGATACTCTCATAGATGAGAAAAAGCATTTG